GCGCTGTACAGCGCCATGCTGCGCGACGAGTTTGTACGCTGCCTTAGGAAGTTTGAACCGTCGAGCGAGTGTCAGCAGCAACACACGGAGACGGAAATGATCACAGCCTTCCGTCACTCACAGTTTAATGTCGTTTTCATTTAGACGTGCAGTTCATTCCACGGGGCAAAAAGGGGCGTTCATAAATGTAATTACGAGTACGGCGACAGGTGCTCAGTCCCGAACTGATTCTCCTCCGTTAGGCAGCGTTCAGACTTCGCGACAGCAGCGCTTCGGTCGCGCGTTCGACGCGATCGATACGCATGCTTTCGACTGCACATCGAACGCGCGACCGAAGCGCTGCCGTCGCGAAGTCTGAACGCTGCCTTAGCACGTGTACATATCTGCCTCTTTTCGCCTGGACTCTCCCAGCCACCGTTCTCCCAACTGCGTGCTTGGAACGCCTCTTTTTTTTCTTTTCGTATATGCACTGTAAGTATGGTTCAAGAGCAGCCCTCACCTGTATGCGAGAAAAGGCAAGCATTGTTGAAAATTGTTGTCCTACCAAATTGTACAGTAAGAAGGTGGGCATCAGTATGTAACAGCTTAGCATAGGTTCACAACAACATGTGCGGCGCTATCGCTAACTCCTGTATATTTCTTGCAGGATGTTTCATGAAGGTCTCATGCTTATGTCTGTACTGCCCCCTTTCTTTACCTTAGTTTCCCTGTCCTTGTCTTCCCCTGCCTTCTCCTATTAGTTGTACCAGGCTGTAAACTTGACACTACTAATGGTAGAGGGAAGGCAGCTGAACTTGTAGAAACTTGCTACCAGAAATGATCCTTTTATTCGCTTGTTATCATCGCTATCTAGGCGATGGAGATAAGCACTGAACTCAATTTGTCTGATAAGCATCGAAATACATTGCAGTATAAAAGCGAAGAATGAAGATAGATAGGCATTTCCGCACTTCGTTCGTCTTACTTGCTATAGAATGACCTCTGTCTACATTGGAGCCGCTGGTTCCGGTGGCTCGGCTGCACCAGGAGCCACATCTCAGTATTTCGGCGTGGGTGGTGGTGGAGGAGGAGGTGCAGGTGGTGGTAAACTGCCAGGTGGAGGAGGAATGCCAGCAGGTGGTACCGGAGCACAATCTGCCTATTTTGGCGTTGGAGCTGGTGGTGCAGGAGCTCCTGGAGCACAATCAGCATACTTTGCCGTTACTCCAACAGCAGCTGGCGTGCCACCCGTTGGCGGCGGCGCCGCTCCGCCACCTCCAGTGGGTGGAGGTGAGTTTCCTTCATGTCCTTGTCAAAGAGAAATTTAACTGGCATGAATTCAGGAGGTGCTTCAACCATGACCGCTGTGGGCGGTGCCCCAGGTTAGGTCCCAGACACTACTCTAGAGTTTTTCTTTCAATCTTCAGGAAGAATTAGTGATTTTGTTCCAGGAGGACGTTCAACAATGACCGCAGTTGGTGCTCCTATGGCAGGTCCAGGATCTACAATGACTGCAGTTGGTGCTCCTATGGGAGGTCCAGGATCTACAATGACAGCTGTCGGTGCTCCGGCCGGAGGAGCTTCAACCATGACTGCTGTTGGCGCTCCAGGTGACATCACATTTTCTGCGATTCTTTTATCAGAACTGTAACCGCAGTGGAGTTACACTCTACTTCGCTGCGGACGGTTGGGCGTGTCAGCCAGTATGAGTGTGTCACCCCGAGCCGTTCTCTGCCTTCTTGTTGAAACGGGCATGCGACAAAAAGCAGTAGAAAACAAGTAATACGAAAGGTATGATACAGTATTGTCATTTGCTCGCTTGAACAACTCGTGGAGAACGAGTTTGGCACCGCGCCAAACGCAGCCGCACGAACACGCCCAACCGTCCGCAATGAACTACACTATAAGTGACTTACAGTTCGCGTATATTCCACCCATTAATTGGCGAGGATCTGCATTGA